AGACCTAGCTGACTGGCTCAGTTACAGAGATGCACTGTTTACTGTGCAGTTAACACCATCTGAATTACTGTTGTCATTTCCCCTTGTTTTTTTCCAGTTTTGTATTTTCCAGCTGATTTCCTTACTACCTTGTCTTTCCCACCTACTTCTGCTTTCAGCCTGATTGCAAGAGAGGGATTTACGTGTTCATTCTCTACCTTCATCCCCCAGCTGCTCTCCCCACTCCCCTGCCAGTAACTTCAAATTCATTTGCCAGTTTCAGTCGAATTTAATAGAGGTGTGAAAGGCATTAACTTGGCATTAATTCCAAAACTTCAGGAAAAAGAAAGCACCACATTAGAGTGACCACTGAGCAAAACAGTTGTCTTGTTTGGCTTGCCACTGGCCAGTGAGAACCTGCGTGACTTGGAGCAAGACACACACAGCACGCTGCCACCGTGCACTTAGCCACTGAAAAGTGTGGAAAGGAGCAGAGGGAATGATGGAGGAGAAGGTGAAGCGAGGGAAGGGAGGACTTAAGACATTGCGAGGGACACGAAATCAGAAGCTAGAGCTACCGCAGGAGGTATCAGGTATCTCCCAACTTAATGGGAGATCAAGGTGCTGCCAGCACAGGTTATTGCATGTTGTTCATCTGTGTTCTTCGTGTAAATAATGAAAGCAATGTTCAGCCAAGACGTAATGATTTTTCTGGACTCTAAGCAAGAGTGATCATATGTGTAAGCCAAACGTTCATCCGACATCACTGATACAATACCAGTGACTCTTGTGGAATATTGTCAGTTTATGCCAGCCAGGTCTACTCCATAAGCTTCAGATTCATACTTCTCCATGGGTCCAGGGTTTACAGCCCTGAAGGGTTTCTGTGTTCCATTTCTAATACAGTTTCACATCTATTACAGGATTACCCCTTCCCCCTGCTCTGGAGAGAGGCAGTCTGGTAGATTCAGAGACACCCGGAATCGGAGCCTTCGCTCATTATGAGCGTTGCAGAATTGTCACTTCTGGGAAGCTCAGTGCTGATCTTTCTCACACATAGCATAGCCATTAAAGAACAGCTCTGGAAGATAAATCGTATACGGATAAATGATTGCCCTCCTTTGTGTTGTGCAGCCTGTTGCACAGAGCAGTGATTACACTGAACAATACACAGAATTTCATTCACCTTTAGCAAGATTCAGCCTCAGCCGGGGAGGTGTCACACTAGTGCTTCCAGCGTGCCCACTGCTCTGAGCAGCGGTGCATCGCAGCTGGCATTGTCCATTCATCTGGGGAGCAAAAGCTGTAAAGTGAATCCTTTGGTGTCTCAAGGCTGCTTCCCTTGCAAGATGAATCCCAAACCTCCATTTTTCAAACAAATTACATGGCTAAATTGTCCTTGGCTAGGCAGTCACGTCTGTTTTAGGACCATATTGAGCCAAATAAAAGGTGAAAGAAATTAATGCGAGGAGGTGAAGGAAGGGGAAAAAAGGGAAAAAGAAAAAAAAGCTATGCTGTTCAAATCAGCTTGTTGCTTCAGCCTACTGACTGCCTTGCAGTGTAGCTCAGGTCTGGAATTGACTGCACAGTAAAGAATTGGGCTTTTTACTCGGTTTTCACTTCAGGTTTCTGACCGTTGCTCAGAAGAGGAGGGAATGGGTAGATCGAGATATTCATTTCCCTTTGGTTATGCCCTGAAAGGGAAAAAGAAGGCATCTGCATCCTTTCTTACTGTAGCCATCTTGTGTAGCTGGTGAGTCCCTTTAACTCACAGAGGTAAAAAAGATTATTCCCCTCTCCCCTCAAAAGGTGAGGCTTTCTGTTTTCAGGAAATGGTTACTCTACAAAAAGAAAGGTTTAGGGGGAGACGCAGTCCGGTGTTTTAAAGAATCAGTTAAGTGTATATATATATGCAGTGAACTATACTGTGTAAATAATAAAATATAGGCAGGTGATACATAGGCACAAACAATTTTGTTTTATGGCACCACACTGAAAAAAAACAGGCTTTGTTCACACAGAGATGCAGCATTTTTCAATCATTTCATTAGTCAAGTATTGAGGCCAGGTTTTTCCTAATCTCTTCAGAAGACATTAAGACTTTTTAAGGTTTTACCAGCCAATGCCCACTGTTTAACTACTGGCTGCTGCATGCTGCAGAGCCTGGACTTATTTCCAGACCCAGTTAGCAGTTGTTTAGGTCAGGTGAGATAGCCAGCACAGCATTGCATCAGTCTGGAAATACGTTTCATCACAACAGACAGGCTGGCAGAGCCAGCAGTCCCTGTCACTGGAGAACCCGTACTGGTTTGTGCATCAGTGGGAGAGACCCCTGGGCAGGTGTGCCTTTTGGGCACTGGGCAGAATGGTAGCTGTCGTAGACAGCGCTAGAGGGTTGGATGGGCTTATTTGGTCCCATAACTAAGGCCACAGATAAACGTTTAGCTAGCAAATGGCTGTTGTGGAATAAGCAGTCACTGCCACCCAGTTGTTTGTCATCACCCCGCTGGCAGCAGCCATTTCTCCTCCCCCACAGGACTGGCCGCAGGGATCACTGATTCACACCTCAGTGCAGAAGCGGAGGGTTTGGCTTCAGAGGCCGGCAAACACGAGCCGGTGCTAAGCCTGCCCTTTTCACTAAAGCATCTGGCTCCTGCTGGCAAGGGCTGTAGACTTCATCAGAGGGGCAGGAACAAGGAGTTGGCAGCCTTACTCTTCCGTAGCCGTTGGCTATTCAAACCTGTGTCAGTGCTTTGAGGGGCAAGATAAAACCTACACAGATGTGGAGGAGGGAAAGA